ACGCTGCCCGCCGCCCCGAAGAGCTGGGGGCCGCAGGGAGGAGATGTCGCTTCGCCTGCCCCGTCCGTTCCTGGCGACCTCCCGGGCCAGTGTGGCAGTGGCCACCCCTCGCTGCTGGCACCGCCAGCCCATCCTTCATAAGCCTATCTCTGTGCCACCCCTCTGGTGACTTTAGCTGATGCCTCAGGATCTGCCTTTGCACTTGCCCGTTAGCCATAACCCATAATTAGGGCACCCAGTGGGACTCCATTAACGCTTAGACATTGGAGGATGCAAGCTGGAAGAAGGGTTGGTTGTTTTCCATAAACATGAGCAAATAAAGTGGTATTGGTTTTCTAATTTTATGCCCTGCGAGGGAAATTCCTGAGCAGGGTTGGTTTTGTTTGGTTTTTAAGTATCTCTAATAACCCTTGTAAAAATGCCAGCGCGCTTGCCCAAATAAGACATTAAGGAATTGTCTACATAAATGGAGACAGCAACAGTCACTTGGTTTTGTGATTCAAAGCTGCTTAATGAGAACACAAAAAATATATGTATTTAAAAATCAGCTACTGTTAATTCAACCCCATATCCTGGACTGCTTGGTTTTGCTTCACATCCCTCACGGCAAACGTGGTACCCACCACGGCCGAAGAGCCGCGGTCCAGAACCAAGGGCGAAGCGCAGGCAGAGAGCACGGGCAGCAGGCTCCTGCATCCAGCGCAGGCAGAAGCCCTCGGCAAGGTGGCTGGGAGGGGTGTGCTGCTCGCTGCGCGCCTCGCACTTACGCAGGGAAACCAATATTTTAATCCTGACGCTGTTCTGAGAGACACGGACACATCCTTACCTGGCGTCAGTCAGGACCACCCAGTAAAGGAAGCTGCAGTAAGGAGCCAGCTCCATAATTCCTATCTATTTGTATTAATTTAAAAGCCATTGCACCACATTGCTCAGGAAACGACTTTACTACGTTTAAAAAAAAAAAAAAGAAAAATGTAGGTCTAGCTGGAAAGAAAATGTCTCCGCCACAGAAAGAGGGGAACTATAACTCCGTGTTTTCTTTTCTTTTTCTGTTTTATTTTAGGCAAGAAATCCTTCAGCATGTCGATGTAATAAAAAATTTTTCTTTGACCAAGAATAGTGTTCGGATCGGACAGCTGATGCATTACGATTATTCCAGCCATAAGTATGTTTTCTCTATTAGCAATAACTTCAGATCGCTGCTTCCTGACGTGTCGCCGATCCTGAACAAGCATTACAACATTTGCGCCGTGGTTGGAAATAGCGGGATCCTGACCGGGAGTCAGTGTGGGCAAGAAATAGATAAATCTGATTTTGTTTTTCGTTGCAATTTTGCTCCAACTGACGCTTTCCAAAAAGATGTCGGAAGGAAAACCAACCTTACGACCTTCAACCCCAGCATCCTGGAAAAGTATTACAACAATCTTTTGACCATTCAGGATCGCAACAACTTCTTTTTAAGTTTGAAAAAGCTTGATGGGGCCATTCTTTGGATCCCCGCTTTTTTCTTCCACACGTCAGCAACAGTCACGAGAACGCTGGTTGACTTCTTTGTTGAGCATAGAGGGCAACTAAAGGTCCAGTTGGCTTGGCCAGGAAATATAATGCAGCACGTTAACAGGTGTGTGGCTTTGCCCTGCTTTTAACTTGAGAAAATACCCCTCTCCCTCTGTACAAACGCAGCTGCATTTGGTTTTCTATTCACACCTGATCTGGCAGGCGCTGTCTGGCGAGTCGGGACCCGATACTGCTTGCTTTCAGAGCAGATGCAGGTTTGCTATGACCTCAGTAAGTCCTTCAGTTACTTCTGTACAGATGCGTCCCCAGCGCAGCAGAGGTGGGCTGGCTGTTCGCACCGGGGCACGGTGCTCATCGCGGGGCTCCGCTCCTGCCGCTGCTTCCGCAGACGGGAGGAGTACGGGGGAGCCGGGTGAGGTGCTGCCTAAGCAAAGCGCCGCTTACGGAAGAGCCAGCAAACAGGGATGCTGACAGACAGCTGCAGGGTGGTCCAAGGAAAACTGCCATAAATCAGAGGAGGATAATGTTGCCAGCTCTAGCAAACGCACGTGTGAGCAGGAGCCAGTGAATCGTACTTTTCTGGACAAGGCACTGCCTCTCCTGGTTAAAAACCAAAAACATTCAAAGGGGACCACACGGGGCTATCGGGCAGAGTGCTGCTGAGGTTGTTTTGCACTCCCGGTCGTTACAGACTGACCTGAACAGCAATCCTTGCCTTATTCAGGCCATCAGCTGGCAGCACTGATGGTCTCCAGGCAGTAACGCTATTTTTCTCTTGCAGCAAACCTGCGGCATTACTTGCACCCCAGACTAACACGCCTTTATTTTTTTCACAGATACTGGAAGAACAAACACTTGTCACCCAAGCGGCTGAGCACAGGTATTCTCATGTATACCCTTGCTTCTGCCATATGCGAGGAGATCCACTTGTATGGATTCTGGCCCTTCGGGTTCGACCCCAACACGAGGGAGGACCTCCCGTACCACTACTATGATAAGAAGGGAACAAAGTTCACGACCAAGTGGCAGGAGTCCCACCAGCTGCCTGCAGAGTTCCAGCTGCTCTACAGGATGCACGGTGAAGGACTGGCCAAACTCACCTTGTCGCATTGTGCCTAAGAACCTAAATCTCGAAGTGCCAAATGATTGTCTAAAAAGTGCCCAAAACCGAATTAAACATTCTTCAGATATAATTCTAAAAAAAAAAAAAAAAAAAACCACGCCACCCTAAAATATTTTCCATAATATGAAGATGCTTTTTAGTCACCCTTGTCACTGCTCATCAAAGGGTTTAAGCATATTTAGCAGTGCAGAAGCATTTATCAAATTCTGTGGATGCTATTCATGCAGCAGCGAAGTTGAAATATTTTGCATTTATAGATATGCTACTAAGTATGTTTTAAGATATTTTCGTATTTTCGCATTCCACTAAATGCCCTAAATCTCTTAATTTTATTGTCCCTTCCCCATTAGAATTAGAAAAGCTAATTTTAAAAGGTTTTGCTTCTCTTGTATGTGTTGCTATCAATAGCTCAGCATACGTATATTGCCGTGGCCAACTGAGAAAGCCACTCGGAATTCCAGTTCATCGTCACTTGCAAGTTCTTCAGTGTGGATCCTCATTTCCACCGCTTGCATATTTTCATATTTACTGAACTTTACATTTTTTTAAGAATAACGTGAAGAAGGTGGTCACAATATGGCTTGTACCTTAGCTAGGCGTTTATATCGCTCTCGGAATACTTCAGCGTTTTAATTCAATCTGGGCCAAATCCTCGTCCAAATTAGCCAGGCTGAAACATGGTCATTCCCATCCGTGTGATACTATTTGGTCTTTTAATTTTAAAGTCAAAGCACCGGGACAAACAGCGTTAGGTTTCTCTGGAGATGTGGTGGGTGGGAAGAGCCCCAGCCCCCAGGGCCCCCGCCCCCTCCGACGACGAGGGGTCCTTCGGGAGGACGAGCCCCGCAGCCAGGGAGCACGGGAGCTCCCGTCCATCCCTTCGCACCCGCAGCGCCCGTTCCCCCCTCCCGGCCCCACC